AGAGAGAGAGAGAGAGAGAGAGAGAGAGAGAGAGAGAAGGGTATGAGTTGTGGTTCACTGCTGGAGCCGCTCTTTGTGTGCGCTGGGATGAATTACCAAGTGGAAGTCCATAATGTGGAGTGGAGCATGGTTACAGTACGTTTCGGCCTTCCGTACGCGGCTACGTGCGCCATCATTCGGCCATGAACGGCAATGGGAATGCATAGTGGCGATCTTATGCGAATTTGAATATGGTGCTGATGTGCGCATGTGGCTGTGTGTCTGAATGTCGCACTCCCGCGGATCTATTGATGGCCGTCGATTTCCCGCTTGTCGTACATACAGAATTGACTGAATGTTTAGTAGGTTGAAATTGGCGTGCACGCAGTTTATAGAAAAAAAAAAAGGAAAAAAAAAAGAAATTGCCGTGCATGCTTGGTCGTCGGCAACCATTCTAGGGCGATGGGAGGCGGGAACTGAGCTGCAACACTGTAGTTGGGGAGGAAGGGTTTGGGGTGAGTGGGTAGCAGGTGAGTGGGTAGGTGTGTAAGCATCGCGGTATTCTTGGGAATCTCCGGAATCTATTCCGCCAAATCTCGGTCGCCTTGCCCGCAGAGGAATGGCGAACATACGCCACTGTAGTGCCGTGCCGTGTACTTCTACTCTCCCTCCCTCTCTCTCTCTATGGGTCTCGCTCCACTACACTACAGTAGACCCACGAAAAGTGTAGAGTTCGGCACCGCTCCAGTGCCCAAGAAAGGGACTGTGCAAAATTTCCGTCTTGAGCTGTCAGAAGCGGCTCTAGAATCGAACTCTAGAGTCTAGACCTTTCGTGAGTGCCCAGCCTGCAACCGAGGGGGGAGTTTCTTGGGAGGACCTTGGTACCCCCGTTTCAGCCTCGTTTTTTTTTTTTTATTATTTTTTTTATTTCTCGATTTATGCGTGTCATCCTTGCGCAGGGGCCATGCTAATCTTCTCTGTATCGTTCCAATTTTAACGGATGTCCCGAAGGACAAAGCCTCGTTTTTGGTGAGCTCGTCTCCAGTCGCTGCAGCCAGAACACTCTGGCGCTGTCATTTATCATTTATTAGTGCCCAGCCTGCAACCGAGTGCTCTACCACACTCAAGGGGTCTCGCTCCACTACTCTCGGCATGCACAAAAGACAAAAATCGAGGCGGTGTATTTTTCCAATGTCTAAATGAAGATTCACTCTCGTTTTGCACATCTTGAGAGTACTGGAGCGAGGCCCAAGAAAAAGAAAACCGCTTTCGTTTTCTTGAGTCCTTGCGTTCCCTCCATCTAGATTTGTGGAGCGAGGCCGAAAATTTCGAAAGTGAAAAAAAAATAAAAAAAATAAAATAAAATAAAAAATAAAATAAAATAAAAAAAATCGAAAGTTCGGCGCCTCTGCCAGGTCAAGAACTTGAGAATTTTTTTTGTGAGTCTAGTGCAGTGGAGCGAGAGACCCTATGTTTTGTCCTCACTCTCCCCCCCCCTCTTATCCCTGCAAGTCGTTTCCACCGGCTTGCTCTTGTCCTCTTTTCTCTCTCTCTCTCTCTTCGTCGCCTTATCTCTCGGCTCCTCTTCTATACTGCAAGGCCTCCCATCAAACTATTCCCCGGTCGCTCCCCTTCTGCACTCGCCTCGCCTGCTGGCGTCCCTCCATGACCAAAAAAAAAGCAAAGGAGAAGTATCTGTGTCTTGGCAGTCGCCGTCCTTCCTCCCTCCCTCCCTCCCTCCCTCCCTCCCTCCCTCTCCCGCCTGCTGCTCAGTCGCACGCTCTGATTCCTTGTGCGTCTCTCTTTGTGTTGCTCTTCGAAGTCTACGAGTCTAAGGTCATTTTGTCTCTCGGAAGCTGCCCTTGTCCCTCCCTTTCTCTCCCTTCTCCCTCTCTGGCCCTCGGCTGAACTCCACCCTTCGCCTATCCGTTTCTTGGTTTCATGGATGGAGACCTGCGTCGCCGCTATTTCACTGCCTCGTTGCTTGCTGTCTTTCTCTTATGCGTCTGACCCACTCTTCTCGGGTTGTCTGTGAGCTAGCTAGTGCAAATCGTCCCTCAAATTCTTTCGCCTTTCACTACCTACCTACTCCTAAGGCTATATAGAGGGGATCCCTGCAAACATAGCTACCTCTCACGGTGAAGGGGATATTGGATGTTGCCCCTTGTCCTAGTGGTCAAGGGTGCACGGTCGGGGCCGCCAGTGGGGGTCCGGCCAACGCAAAGACCGAGCATTTTGGCAATAGCTGCGCCTCCCTTTTCATCCTCCCCGGCCCCCCATCGAGTAGCAGCAGTGTCTCTAATAAGCCCAACACTCTCCCACACCGAGTAGCTGCAGTGTCCAAGGCCAACACTCTCCCACACACCGCTAGCATATCGTGAGAACGCGGGCTCGCAAGCCCGTAGTGGCAAGAAATGACGAGGTTCTTTCCTCTCCGTCGACTGTGAAAGGACGCGGCGGCAAAACACGGTAATCGCAGTGATACACAAAAAAAAAAACGAATCTTTTCATGTTCGACCAAGAAATGCACTTCCATTTCACACAGTACCCAGTGCCGCAACAAAGCCGTTGTGAGGAAGGGCTGATCGGAAAAGTGTTAGGGCCAGATCCCACTGGTGGCGAAGAGGATGGGAATGAGTGTATGAATCTGGACGTGTTTGTGGCGAGGTGCTGAAAACTGTGACTGATCTGCTTTTCTGCATCTCTGCGCGGAACACGTCCAGATGCAGACACTTATTCCAATCGTCCTTGCCAGTGGGATCTGGCCCTTAGAATGGACCCAGCCGGTACGTTCGTGAACTGTTGAAGTACAGACCTCTGAGTTGGAATCCAAATGGACCTAGCTGGGGCCATTCGGTTCCAATGATATTTCAAGGCTGGGCCAGCACAGTTGGTACATGCATGAGCTGTTGAAATGCAGACATGCCGAGCAGCCGACCTGCTCTTTTTTTTTTGTTTCCCCGACAAAAAAACTAAAGCTATATTCTTCTCTCAATTTCACCTTTCACTACCTACCACTACTCCTCGGCCTATACAGGGGAGCCCTGCAAGCAAAGCTTCAATGAACGAAGCTAAACTGCGGGCAAGCTTCAACACCCAAGGTTCATATCATACCCAGGACTCGCACCACACAAGCGCACACAAGCTAACTAGACGAAATGAACCAAATGAACCAAATGAACCTAAGACGAAATGAACCAAATGAACCAAATGAACCTAAGTAAACCAAAAATAAACATCGACACCCACAACCTGCACCCCCTCTGTACCGGTCCTCTAAAGGAAAAAGGAAGAAAAGAAAAATCCGTAACAACGAACGGGCTTACGCAGCTCAGTTGGTATATCCATGAACTTCTGAAATTTAGACTGGATCTCTAGGTTACTTGGTCAAATAGGCTAAGGTAGGCAACACAGTGAGTGTCCGAGTCGCAGTGGGCTATGAGGAGAGTGTCTGTACCCGGTACAGAACACTGGCTGAAGGTTAGGTAATAGAGAAGTCCATTCGAGATTGGGAGTGTGTGTGTGTGGGTGTGTGTGTGTGTGTGTGGGTGTGTGTGTTGTTGTGTGTGTGAGTGAGGTGTGTGTGTGTGTGTGTGTGTGTGTGTGTGTGTGTGTGTGTGTGTGTGTGTGTGATGTAGATTCTCAACACAACAGCCCCTGTTCCACCTAGATGAGTAGATCCAAAATCAATGCAGCTTTACCTCTATTGCAGACAATGAAGCGCACTTGACATGAGAGGCAGTCCAACAGTCCAACAGTGCAACAGTTTAAAGTACAAAGTTTCATTCTATTGAATCAATAAAAAAAAGAACAATTGAAAATAAGTTACCTCTAAAGCAAACCACATGAAGCACAATAGATCCCTTATATCCTTTGGCTCTCTTTGGTGTACCGCTTTTACAGTATTTCTTCTCGTGGCTCCCCTTTGACTGTGAACTCTCACATAGAAGGCTGGCCAGGCTGATTGTGGTTGAGAACGAGGTGCCCCACATCTCCGTGTGCCAGAGAGGCCCACCTGCACGCTATGAAAGGAGGCAGAGTAAAGGGGGAGGAGATATACTCGTGTTAATTTTTCCTCCGATCTTCAGCTTATATTTTGCCTGTTCTCTTAGTGAGGGCTATGAAAGGTGGCAGAGTTAAGGGGGAGGTATACTCCTGTTGACTTTTCCTCAGATCTTCAGCTTATATTTTGCCTGTTCTCTTAGTGATGCTCATTCGTTTGCCTCTACTAGTCGTACACAAGAGGAGGTATGAAGGAAAGGGGTAGCGCGCCGAGTTGTATAGGAAGCAAGGGACATGGGAGGGAGAAGGGGAAGAGGAGGGAAGTGGAGGGGCAAAGACAAACTTCAGAGGGTGAAGTGGAGGGGCAAAGACAAACTTCAGCAGAGG